GAACGCAGACTTGGCAGCAAACTACACCATCATAAACTGGCACAGGTCTGCTGAGGACGGCTCTGTGTTGTTTCAGGAGGTTGGATACTACAACATGCACATCAAGAGGGGGGCCAAAACTGTTATCGATAAGACACAGATTTTGTGGAATGGATACAGCTCTGAGGTCAGTCTAACTGTTTTTAGAGGATCTCCCCATTACAGTAACATATTCGGTTTCCCACTGTCATTTGGTGTATTTTTCATTACCCTGAAATGATCTTCCTAATAATCAAAGCAAGGAAAGAAAAATTATTGAAACTGTTGCAAATGTACATTGTTACGACTGCTGCGCGGGCCATATTTTAACATTAAGGCTAAGATGATCTTAGCCCTTGGACCAACAATGGGACTTGGTATTTGGTATGTCCACTTGGAGGCAGTAGAACTAGCTGTAAATACAACATTGTATTATTACCTGATAATATTGTAAGCAAATACTAATTAAGTGCTAGCTGCTCAAATAGGGCAGGTTGCATACAGTGGTTTCACCAGAGCTGTAAACAAAATCACAAAGAGTGGTGGGAGTGAACTAATCAGTAAGTGTGAGGTGTAATAAAACAAAAACAATGGGATAAAATATACTAAAACACTTGTTTTAGCTGGGGGAAGGGCAGAATTCGCTGATAAATAACAATGTAACTGCTGTTGCATTGCACATTATGTGTAATTAGTTTAAGAGTGTGTCTGTAAGTTTGTATATTGGGGAATATTCACACACCAATTTACCCAGATCAGGAGAAATCCTGGTAGTCTAAGGTTTTTCATTTTCTTAGGTCCTTAATCTAAATATCATAACCCCTCGCCCCTTACTTCCTTCCGTTACATCACAGCTGACTTAGTAGTAAAACCATATAATGTCCCTTAAAAAAAGATAAGCCTTTTGCAAAGTCACACTTTGTTTATAAAACCCTACACCAATGATATTTGAACGTCCATTACAACTGTTTGTTCTCACCTTTACATCCTATAGGTGCCATTCTCTAATTGTAGTGAGGACTGTGAACCTGGTACCAGAAAGGGGATCATCGACAGTATGCCCACATGCTGCTTTGAATGCACTGAGTGCTCAGATGGAGAGTACAGTAATCATAAAGGTATCGAAATGACAAACATTCCCAATCTACTAATGTAAAACCTTTCTAATGTTGCCGTTCTGACACAAATTACTTTTGTTTTTATACAGATGTCAGTGTTTGCATCAAGTGTCCCTATAACTCTTGGTCCAATGGGAACCACACATTCTGCTTCCTGAAGGAAATCGAGTTTCTCTCCTGGACAGAGCCATTCGGGATAGCTTTGGCCATATGTGCAGTACTGGGTGTGTTCATGACAGCGTTTGTGATGGGAGTCTTTGTCAGATTTCGCAACACCCCAATAGTGAAGGCCACAAACCGAGAACTGTCCTACGTCCTCCTATTCTCACTGATCTGTTGCTTCTCCAGCTCCCTCGTCTTCATTGGAGAGCCACGGGATTGGACATGTCGTTTACGTCAACCTGCCTTTGGTATCAGCTTTGTTCTCTGTATCTCCTGCATCCTTGTGAAAACAAACAGAGTACTTTTGGTATTTGAAGCCAAGATCCCCACAAGTCTCCATCGTAAATGGTGGGGATTGAACCTGCAGTTCCTGCTGGTGTTTCTGTGCACATTTGTCCAAGTCATGATATGTGTGGTGTGGCTTTACAACGCCCCTCCTTCCAGCTACAGGAATCACGACATTGATGAAATCATTTTTATCACCTGCAATGAGGGATCTGTGATGGCTCTTGGGTTTCTTATTGGCTACACGTGCCTCCTGGCAGCTATATGTTTTTTCTTTGCATTCAAATCTCGGAAACTTCCAGAAAACTTTACAGAGGCAAAGTTCATCACCTTTAGCATGCTCATATTCTTTATTGTTTGGATCTCTTTTATACCTGCGTACTTTAGTACTTACGGCAAGTTTGTTTCAGCTGTGGAAGTCATTGCTATACTGGCATCCAGCTTTGGGATGCTGGCCTGTATCTTCTTCAACAAGGTCTACATCATCCTCTTCAAACCCTCCAGTAACACCACTGAGGAAGTTCGATGCAGCACCGCAGCCCACGCTTTCAAAGTAGCTGCCAAAGCTACACTGAAACATAATACGGCTGCAAGAAAGAAATCCGGTAGCATTGGTGGATCTTCTGCCTCGAGCCCGTCCTCATCCATCAGCCTCAAGACCAACGGCAATGACAGCGATGCAGGAAAGCACAAACCAAGGATGAGCTTCGGCAGTGGAACAGTAACTCTGTCCCTGAGCTTCGAGGAGTCGAGGAGGAGCTCTCTCATGTGATCGCATGATGTGGTTGTGTCAAACACCCCTAACCCTATAACCCTAACCTTTCATCAATACCAATAATTGGCTGTGCTTATTTGAAATTAATTTACACTTATACCTCCCCATCTTCTTTTTTTCCTGTCTTCTTTTTTTTTTTTAATTCAGAAAGATGTAGTACACGATCTGAATCCTGTGACTTTTATTATTTCCAGCATGACCCTGATGTACACTAAGCCTATTAATATTAAAACAAGATTTTGTACAAATAAAAACATTACATTAGATCGTTAATTTTGTTATCACATCTCTCTATGAACCTACCAACCAACCAACGGTAACAGCAAGAGTTAACAAAATCTGTTTGTTAGGACGGACAACACAAAGACAGGTAACATGGATCAATAATTGACTTGTGGACAACAATGGCATTTCCATTTGTAAGTGGATTAATGAGACCAGAAGATGTACAGTAAGAGTCACATTATAAATCAATACACTACAGGATGTGGAATTAAAGTTATGTACTACTTACGTTGCATTATGGTCAACCACAAGACAACAAAAGAAAAATAACTATAGTTCCTCGACATTACATTGTCAAATCGATGCCACCTTATTCAAGGTCTCTTTGGGTAGTACGAAGAGGGAAATAAATAATCTAAATATGTGTGTCTTAAAATTAAAAGTGTCACTCGTGTCATCACAATGTCAGAGACTAAAACACAACATCAGGAGTATCACCTTTTTTGTAATATAACATTTGGTATTTCCGAATGTATTTTTTTTATCCCCTCCAGGCAAAGACTCATTTCTAAACACCTGTTACTTACAATGGAAGTAATACACCCACAAAGAGTAAAACTGTGCAGCTTGTACAAATAATAATACTTTAACTATTTTGACACATGATTACATATTTACTGTGATAAACATGATCTAATACGCTGCTATAAATAGCCCAAATTATCTCGGAAGTATAGATCTGAATACTTCAAAACCCACAGATCGAAAAATAAATAGGAAACGTGCTGAAGGAGGTCTACTTTTTGGTGTAGAAAACCTTTCTTTGCTTGCAGTCTGCTTCTCACAAGTCACTGACAACTGCAAACAGAACTGGTCTATCTCACATGTTAAAGTCAATATCGCAATAGGCCTACACTGCACAGGTATGTCCTTACAGCATGGAGGAGGTGGAGGTACAGTATAGAGAGGAGGGAGGAGAAGGAACTGTTTTTACTGATCCACCCTGTCTCATTATCAAGAGTGAAGGATCTAAACTGTAACTATGTCCTAATTATAAAGACTCATGGCCAATTGAGTAATAATAAGACAATACAATAGTATACATATTTATTATAACAAAGAGAAAAGGGCCATTCTGTATGTGCTCACTATATTTTAATGATAATACTTATTCTATTTTAAACACAGGAGTTTATTTTGCTTTTGTTTTAATAAACAACTGAAGGTTCCTGTCATGGTAATTGAGAGGATAAATGCTGATAAATAGTGTTGGTCCAAGAAAACTATTCCTTAAGGCCTTCTTGGAACAGTTATGGTTAAATGTATGAATGTAACTAAGGCTGGCCATGGTTTAAAAAGGTATTTAAGCTTTCTAACGACACCTTGAGAAATGCACTCAAGTTCCAATTTCAATGGTATTATTGAGGGGCAAACAACATTAAATGCAAGTGAGGGAGAAAGTCCAACATTCAAAAGTAGGTAAAAAGGCCTTTAAGGAGTGCAAGACCTCCCACATATGGTAGGATCACATGCTGAGACATTGAGTATCCTGACTGACCTGGAGCTGACTGAGGAGCAGCTGCACAGCCTCCTCTGTCGGCAGGAGGACGCGACCTTTATCCTCAGAGCCGGAGTAGCCCAGCAGAGAGAGCAGCATGTTGTCTGTTTGATCAGCAGGGTGTGATGAGACAGATATTAGGCAAAATGACCACACTCGTACAACTGGACATGTAAAATATTACACAATTCAATTGAAACCCTTTAGTTATCAATGTTTTCTATTATATAAGGCGGTGCTGTCACAATCTATTTCTGTTACATTTGAAAGAGAACCACATATTTTAGTCCAACATATGGTAATAAATTAATATAATTTAGACTCAGATAAATGTGGCCCAATCAGTGTTGCAGAAAGTGTAATAAACATTCTAGTAACCATCAAGTAACTACACAAATATATAAAAATGTAAGATTCTAACACCAATAGAATGCAAAACTATTGTATACATAACATTGTTAAATGTAATATAATAACATTCATTTTCTGCAAATATTTGAAGAATATTACCTCAAAATGTTAATGAGGGCAACTATTGTTTTTAAACCACACAACGGAACTAATTACACCAAACATGATTCATGCTTTGTGCTTAATCAAGCCACCCAAAAAACAGCGAAGATTTCTTGTTTGTTTACGTGGCCTTCAAAATAAAAGCAATCCAAGGTCTGCTGTGATGCTGCTGTGTCTTTGCAAAAAATAGCAACCTTTATCACTGGGTTTCTTATTAAAATGTGCGTGTTAATGGTAATAAATAGCTTTTACAGGAATCGTTTTTTTCTTCTTATAAACTCTATGTGCTAATGTGTCTTTCTCTGTTCAGTGCTTAAGCTTTTATTATGAAAGACACCCAGCGGAAGTAGGGTTTATCTACGTTGCCATGACACACTGTCTGATGTCTCCCGGGACGATATAACCACAACGTCTACTTGAGTCTAAAAAGGTAAGATGCGCGAACCAAACTACTTACTTCTAATTTATAATGATCTATCAATACAAACAGCAGCTTTGTGTCTTGTGTTTCACTGAAATATTGCCATACTGTGTTCGGGCTCCTGTTAGCTTAATGCTAATGTTGAACTTTTACAGCACTTCCCAGTAACTACATCCATCTGCATTCGTCAGCTAGCTATGCTAACCCTGAACACAGCTCATCTGGGCACAGCTGCAGATCCTGTTCTCTAAACACATTTGAGCTTTGAATGTTATTAAAACATGGACCGTAATCAGGAGGAATGGGAGTTGTCATATAAAAGGCAACGCTAGTGTCATGCAGTTTTACATGATATATGAGCAGATATAGATAATGTGGTGTGTTTCTCAGAGCTAGCCGACGTTAGCTTGTTACTGTCCATCCCCCAAATCAGGGTAAAAAACACAATTTACTAAATATCTAAGCTTTACTCTTTAATACGTTTTTCTACAGGCCATAATTCAGAATGGACACTAAAATGATATACTTGTTTTTGTGTACATAATCACTGTTCTGTTTAATAACCTGGGGGGCGTTGCCTTGATATCATCTTGTATAACATTTGTATTAGTTTTAGAGTTGAATCAATGTCCAGCAATTTAAATGTGGTTGTCTAACGGTAGCTTTTATAATGCCACGTGAGATGATACAAATTGTGCAGGAAATGTTTTATTTGAATCAATGATTCCTCGAGCAGTCAACGAACAGATTATTAATAATTACAATAGTTATATTTGTGATAGATTCTTTGGGACAGATGAGGAGAAAGGTGTGGCTCTGTGATGTGGTACTGAACTTTATCAAGGAGAACACAGGTGTTAAGTCACAGGGTCTAAACTTACCATTCAGGAAGTGTGTAACATAATAAATAGCCCTGAAAGAGTAAGGAGAATAATAATAATCTGGTATATCAATTTATTTTCTAGGATTAACATCTACCCAGGTGTTTTGTTGTATTTTAAAAGTAGTAGATACTTCTTTTAAACTTGAACCCGCCCTGTCTGCATGTAGTTTTGTATACATGTATCAGAGTATTATTCTTAACACATTTCCTTTCTATATCATTCTACAGTTGTCAAGTTCTTGGCCTCACACCCTGAAAGTGGAGTTTGAGGGATCAGCGATGGATCTTCATCAATAAGTGTTGCTTACTCCACAGTGATCATAAAGTTGATTCACTGTATAGTTCTGAATGTTTCATTGCCATGGGATGACTGGATAGGGAAACTCTGTTTGGTGAAATGTCCTGCGCAGAGGAAATATCTTGAACTAAATCTAACAGCAGCTACAGTTGACTCTTTCACTGTCCTCACGTCAGATCAGTCACACAGCTATGGGCTTCTGTTCGCCTGTGTGCAAGGTTTTTAGGAGGGGGAAATATATTTTGCTCTTCCTCATCTCGCTGTCCGTGCTGGCATGGATTGCACATTTGTCCGGTGAAACCATAAAGGATGCTCCGGTTTCATTTGCCACGCCGCAAGCTCTTGTCAAAGGAGACAGTCTGAGGGAGAAACTGAATGCTTTGGCAGCAACCCCCGATCGCTTGATCACTCCAGCACCAAAAGAAGAATGCCCTCAGGAGTCTCCACTGCTACGTAAGTGCAGGTTAAATACGGCAGCTTACTTGGTATTATTTATTCAGTTTGGCTTCTCATTAGTAATCTTAATCTACCTGTCAGTGGTGTCCGCTTGATAAGTAGAAATGGTTTGTTCAGAATACCTTTATTAGTCCCACAGGGGAAAGGTCCATTGTTACAGTTGAAAAGAGCCAAAGACAGCTTCATGTTACCTAAGCATGCACACAAAAAAAGTACTAAAGATAAAACAAAAAATAAATTATAATTTTTTAAAAGGCTCACATTTTACAAAAATAATTTAAAAAAGTTACACATTTTACAAAAATACACACCCTCTAACAGTTCTTAGGATTTAGCAGCCAGGTATATATTGCACATTCTGTATGATATAACATTTTTAAGGTCTCCACCTTTACCAAACATGACATTAGGAAACTGTTGACGACAACTGAGTGTTTAATTCCCCTTTTTTTTTTAAATGTCTTTCTATAAACTTTTCCTCCCCCACTTCTTATCAACGGTATTCTACAGAAACACGTGTGAATTGCATTTGCTACATGTTGTCTGTCCTGTATTGGTTCGAAGAGGAAGCATTAAAATCAGTCACGTGTAACAGAATGAATCTGCTAACTTCCACAGAGGGAGCTTTGAAGCTGTCCTTTGAATCCTCTCTGAAACTGAAGGACGTGGAGAGCGATAACAAAGCAGTGATTGAAGGCGAGTACGAGCCCTCGGACTGTACAGCGAGGCAGAGCGTGGCGATCCTCATCCCTCATCGCGGCAGAGAGAAACACCTCCTCTACCTCCTGCACCACCTGCACCCCTTTCTGCAGAGGCAGCAGCTACACTACGCCATTTACATCATCCAGCAGGTATACGCCACATACCAACATGTGTCTTTATAAAACAACTATTTTTTAGGGTTCACTGTTGAAGTATTAATATATCAATACCTCCGTGAGTCTGAGTCCCTCACCCTGTTCCAGTCCCGCCTCAAAACCCACCTCTTCAACTCTGTATCCATAAGCCCCCCCCCCCTCTCAACCAACTTCCTCCCGACTGCTTTTCTGTTTTGTTTTGTTTCTTTGCTTCTTTTTGGCTTTGTTTTGGTTTTGTTTGTCTACCCTCCCTCCCAAATGTAAAGCGTCTTTGGGTTCAAGAAAAGCGCTATAGAAATAAAATGTATTATTATTAATATAATTATTTTGTTGAAGTAGTTGTAATTCAAGCGTCTGTCACCTTATTACTTTCGCTTGATTTCTTCTGAATTTCTCAACCAAAAAAGTTAGAATTGGCTTCATTTAAATCAGCTCATTCTTTGAACACTGTTTTTGTGACTCCCAATTATGTAGTGTAAGTCATAAGTGAATCAAATGTGATGCGACTGCACCAATAATAGATCTACTTCAGAGATAAATATTAGGTGTGACTTTGATGTTTGACTACATTTCATCATATTCATTAAAAAGACAAAATGCCACGAGGTGAACATAAAACAAAAGGCACGTTCAATGTTTTTCTCCAAATAATTGAAATCCATTTCCAGCAGTTTCTTTCCCAGTGTGTTGCTTTGGGAGACATACATCTTGCAACATTTGCAGACAAAAGCGCGGCTGTGGAAACAAAGAAACTAGTGAGGATAAACATTTCACCTGCCAACGGCAAATCCTCTGCAGCCAAATTATGTTCTAAGTACTTCAAGAAGGAAGTATCATTTTCAGTAACTAGAGGCAGGAGATTATACAAATGTGTTAGAGCAGGGGTGTCCAAACTACGGCCCCCATTTTGAATCGGCCCTCAGCAAATTAAAAAAGTATAGGCAAGGCAAGTTTATTTATATAGCACTTTTCAACACAAGAAAATTCAAAGTGCTTTACAAAAAATGAAAGACATTAAGAAAATGGCATTTAAAATCAGTCATTAAAAGAAAAGCTAATAAAATAAACATTAAAAGAAAAAAATACATGGATAAAAGTTACAGTGCAGTCTAAGATATGAATAGTTCAATTAAACATTAAAAGAAAAAGTACATGGATAAAAGTTACAGTGCAGTCTAAGATATTAATAGTTTAATTAAGAGCAGCGACAAAAAGAAAAGTCTTCAGTCTGGATTTAAAAGTAGTCAGAGTTGCAGCGGACCTGCAGGTTTCTGGGAGTTTGTTCCAGATATTTGGAGCATAATAACTGAACGCTGCTTTACCATGTTTAGTTCTGACTCTGGGGACAGAAAGCTGACCAGTCCCTGAAGACCTGAGAGATCTGGATGGTTCATAATTTAGCAGGAGGTCAGAAATGTATTTTGGGCCTAAACCATTCAGTGCTTTATAAACCAGCAGCAGTATTTTTAAATCTATTCTTTGACACACAGGAAGCCAGTGTAAAGACTTCAGAACAGGAGTGATGTGATCCACTTTCTTAGTGTTAGTGAGGACTCGAGCAGCGGCGTTCTGAATCAGCTGCAGCTTCCTAATAGATTTTTTAGTGAGACCTGTGAAGACACCATTGCAGTAGTCGAGTCTACTGAAGATAAAGGCATGGACAAGTTTTTCCAAATCCTGCTGTGAAATTAGTCTTTTAATCCTAGATATATTCTTTAGGTGATAGTAGGCTGATTTAGTAACTGTTTTAATGTTGAAACTCAGGTCAGAGTCCATGACTACACCTAGATTTCTGGCTTTATCTGTTGTTTTGAACATTGTAGACTGAAGCTCAGCGCTCACTTTTATACGTTCTGCCTTGGCTCCAAAAACCATTACCTCAGTTTTATCTTTGTTTAATTGGAGAAAGTTCTGACACATCCAGTCATTGATTTGTTCAATGCACTTACTCAGTGTTTGAATTGGAGCATAGTCTCCTGGTGAAATTGTTACGTAAATTTGTGTGTCATCTGCATAGCTATGGTAACTTATTTTGTTGTTTTTCATTATCTGAGCCAGGGGTAGCATGTAGATGTTAAAGAGAAGAGGCCCCAAGATGGAGCCTTGAGGAACCCCACATGTCATATTTGTCAACTCAGATGTGTATTTACCTATAGAAACAAAGTTGTTTCTGTCCTTTAAGTAGGATTCAAACCAATTTAGAACTGTTTCCGAAAGTCCCACCCAGTTTTCTAATCGGTCTAGTAATATGCTGTGGTCAACAGTGTCAAACGCAGCACTGAGATCTAATAATACTAACACTGAAGTTCTGCCACTGTCTGTGTTTAAGTGGATGTCATTAAAGACCTTTACAAGAGCAGTCTCAGTGCTGTGGTTTGGACGAAAGCCTGACTGGAACACATCAAAACAGTTATTTAAATGCAAGAAATTACTCAACTGTTGAAAAACAACTTTTTCAATGATTTTACCTAGAAATGGGAGGTTTGATATGGGCCTGTAATTGTTCATTACTGAAGCATCTAGATTATTCTTTTTTAAGAGCGGTTTAATGACTGCAGTTTTCAGGGCCTGTGGAAAAATACCTGAGTGAAGAGATTTGTTTACTATATGAAGTAGATCTGAGGCCATGCAAGGCAAAACATCTTTGAAAAATCCTGTTGGAATAATATCAAGGCAGCAGGAGGAGGATTTCAGAAGTTGAATAATGTCCTCTAGGTTTTTATCATTAATCTGATGGAATTGTGTCATGGTGTTTGAATTGATATTAGGTGGACACAGAGACAAAACATTTGCTGTACCTGATGCAGAGGCACTGACTGCTTGTCTGATTTTCTGAATTTTGTCAGTGAAAAAGGCAAAATCATTGCACGCCCTGGTGGATAGAAATTCAGAGGCTACTGACACTGGGGGGTTAGTTAGTCTGTCGACGGTAGCAAACAAGGCACGTGCGTTGTTTTTGTTTTTGGTAATGATGTCAGAGAAGAACGATTGTCGTGCGTTTTTCAATTCCAAATTATAAAGGCCAAGTCTCTCTTTATAGATTTAAAAGTGAACCTGGAGATTTGTTTTTCGCCACCTGCGTTCAGCTTTTCGACATTCTCTTTTTTCTGTTTTCACGCTCATGGTCTTTCTCCATGGAGATCTTTTCTTGCCAGACACTTCCTTTACCTTAGTTGGAGCAATGGCATCTATAACATTTTTAATTTTTGAATTAAAATGATCTACTAGCTCATTTACTGAGATGTTAGCAGGGGCAAGTGTGGTAGAAAAATTCTGAGTAAACATTTCCCTAGTGTTTTCAGTTAAATATCGCTTTGTGGTTACCTCTTTTTGAACATTTTTGTGAGCAGAAATAGAGCTCTCAAAGAAAACACAGGAATGATCAGAGAGTGCAACATCAGTCACCACAACCTTAGAGATATTCAGACCCTTTGAGATAATTAAGTCCAGAGTGTGCCCCTTATTGTGCGTGGGCTCCGTCACATGCTGAGTCAGTCCATAGCTATCAAGAACACAAAACAGTTCTTTAGCCCCTCTGTCCTGGGGGTTGTCAACATGGATGTTAAAATCACCAACAATGACTAGACGGTCAAAGTCAATACACACTATAGACAGCAGTTCAGTAAAGTCATCAAAAAAGCTTGCACAGTATTTGGGTGGTCTATAGATATTTAGGAACAGAGCTCGAGAGGAGCATTTCAGCTGAAGGGCCACATATTCAAAAGAATCAAAGTTTCCATACGATGTCTTCCTGCATTGAAGGGAATCATTGAACAGAATAGCAACTCCACCCCCTTTCTTATGCATTCTTTCCTGACTCATAAAACTAAAGTTGATTCGATAAGAACAGCTGCACTGTTATTTTGTTCAATCCAAGTTTCTGTTAAAAACATAAAATCGAGATTGTGCTCAGTGATAAAATCATTGATTAAAAATGTTTTTCCTGCCAAAGACCTGACATTTAATAAAGCTAGTTTAAGTTTGTTAAACACACTATCAGTCATGTTTTTTGTAACAAGCTGTGGCTGACATGGAATCACTGCTAAATTAGAATAATGGAATATGCACAAATGAAACTTGTGCTTGTCTTATATTGTACTTCTTAACTATAAATGTATTGCACAGTAGTATTCATGTGTTAATAAGACCACTTTTCAATTAAAGTTGGAAACATTTTCTAACATATCTAAGTTGATAAGAAAAAAGCCCAATGACTTATTTACATAACAAGCTTGAAATACACCCTTTCTATTTCTGAGGCTTCTGTTTTAAGGGATGAGCTGCTCACAAGCATCATTTACCTGCATTTGATTGATTTTGCTAACGTATAACTTAACTTATGAGGCAGTATACCTCACCTCTAGTGAGTGGCCCAGCCCTTCGTATATTTTTCTGTATGTGGTGAAAAAGGTTTGGACACCCCTGTGTTAGACACATGCAAATCAAAAGTGTGTCAACACTGCTTAAATTATTAACTATGGACTGTACTTATATAGCGCTTTATCCAGTCTTTAAGACCCCTCAAAGCACTTTACATACTACATGTCATTCACCCATTCACACCCATTCATACAGAGCAGTGTACCTTACTCTAGGACCTAACATTCACACACATTCACACACCGTTGGTCATGCCATCAGGAGCAACTCAGGGTTAAGTATCTTGCCCAAGGACACATCGACATGTTGACTGCATGGGCTGGGATCGAACCCATAACCCTCTGGTTTAAAGACGACCGCACTCCCTCGCAGCCACAGTCGCCCACAGCTATCTAGTTTAGGCACTATTACATTTTAATTGACAGCCCCATATGTATTCATTACAGACAATTTTCATAATTAAATGAATGAACGTCTATATGTTTTGGTTATATGGTCATCTGGTGCACTACTTAGGCATTTTATGGTGTTCAAATTCACCAGCCAGGCCGCCTATTTCTTTCAATAACAGCCTGAATGTAATGACGCCACTACAACTATACAAGTTATCCATTAACTGGCCTTCAACTAGTATTAAATATTTTCTAAGCTGTGGCTGTTATGTAGAAATTAGATATTATAAAACGTTTCAATTTGAACTATACATGGCTTCTAAAAGGACAGCAGCAGATTGTGATTGATATACTTCTGTCTTCTTTTAAAGGCTGGAGATGTAACTTTTAATCGTGCCAAGTTACTCAATGTCGGGTATTTGGAGGCGCTGAAGGACTACAGTTGGGACTGCTTCATCTTCCATGACGTGGACCTGGTTCCTGAAAACGATCACAATGTATACGTCTGTGACAAGCAGCCCAAACACTTGGTGGTGGGCCGGAACGCCACAGGATACAAGTAAGTGCACCATTAGGAGCAACCTGACCTAATCATAAAAGCTCTGATATAATCTTAAAACAAAGAACTTTAATTTGTCCTGCTTATTCTTCCTCTCCTAGGCTGCGTTACAAAGGCTACTTTGGAGGAGTCACAGCTATGAACAAAGAGCAGTTTTTCCAAGTGAATGGATTCTCAAACAATTACTGGGGCTGGGGCGGAGAAGATGATGACCTCCGCGTCAGGTGAGACAGAAACAAGTGAAACAGTATTTCTTTTAGTTGTCCAACATTAAATAATCGACACTGATCTGACTCTGGTGCAGGGTGGAGCTGCAGAAAATGAAGATTGTGCGCCCCCCCGCTGATATAGCTCGCTACACCATGGTGTTTCACAAACGGGACAGTGGCAACAAAATAAACAAAGACCGGTAAGTTAAGGCAGATCATGTGTTTGACTTGTTGAAATGTTTGTATCTGATGCTGCATCTGTAATATTTATTTTCATTCATCTCCCTAGAATGAGATTGTTAGGACGTACGCCGCTGGTTTGGAGAAAGGACGGACTTAACAGCTGCACATATAAGACAATGTCCTTGGAGAGGCTCCCTCTATATGTGAATGTTACCGTGGACATTGGTAAGCCTCTGAGTTGAGATTTCAAACAGGAAGCCGCGCTGTGACCAAAAAAAGATATTCAAGTATATATTTGATGTAGTATGTTTAGGCCGCTCAGTGCAGAAAGTCTATATGTGAGTACAAGACTCCACATGTAGCACACAAAATACACATTGTTTTGATAAGTTTACATCATACAATTAAAGATCCCCTATCATACAGTTCCTCATCAATATATTATAGGTCTCAAATATATACAAAACATGTCTCTGAAGTGTTTGGCTCCAAACACCAAACAGATCATTGCAGCATCCCATAATCCCCTCTGTTTCAGCCCTGTTTCCAAAGTGCTGATTCTCTGTCTGTTACTTTAGATGAAAATAAGGAGCCCCTCCCCACGCCCCTGAGATATTTGGTTAAAAAGAACACAATGGTGCTCGAGGAGGAGATAGGGGGGGGGTTACCTTGGTTGGTGTCTCTTTACACAGAGGGGACACATGTTTATGTATGAGAGACATGAAAAAGTGGATTTTGCACAATAGGTTACCTTTACATTTAACAGGTTTTTTTGCACATTTTTACATTTCATGCTGCATTATGTGTTTGAATATTGTTACCAGCATGCTTAAAAAAAGTGGCCAAGATTTGGCTTCCCTCTTGCTGCCAAACTGCCATTCAATTATGCATTATGCGGTTGCCTACATGACAAAAAGTACGGCATAAAACATGCAGATTGTTGGTAACTGAAAACAAATGAACTGTGTGTATTTGGTGTGCTTCATTCTGTTTGGCCTTTTTCTGAAGCCCCTACAGATACAGGTGGAGTCACTCATGTTGCCCAATGATGCCCTGTCTCAGGACTATGGGAGGAACAGACTGATTCATTTTGGAGCTCTATATAGTTGCTTTTTTTACACCCTGATCAACAAAAATGATTGTCTAATTTAAATAAGGAATTTATCTAAATATATATATACTCAAATCATTGATTATAAAACACTACTTACCAAGTGTTAGATCATTGTTTTTGTGAACGCATCTGCGGGGTCCAACCGATGGGACGATGTGAACATATTAAAACAAATATCTGAGGTTTTCATTATCTAATGTTTGCTGTTAATATTACGGCTCTATTTCATAACGCGAGTGATTACATTACTTAGGGTATATAAGGAAAAGGGAAAACTCAAGTACCGCTGAATAGCAATAACAACAGAGGGCTGATAATACCAAGTCATATTCAATTATAATACATTATTTTGGAAATGACTCATTCATATTGATATTGCTCAGCTATGAGAAGCTTATAATGAGTGAATTGAATTTTGAAGGCGTTCTAAACGTCAACAATAAAATGACATTCTTGTTCATATTTTAGGCCGTACACTAAGGCTTGGGATGCCGTGTGCCAACTGGCTTTATTTCCAGAACCTAATAACTCCAACCCCTCTTTTGATGATCGAAATGTTATCTTGAAAAGCATTGTTTTGAGTCCTAACGTTCAGATTTATTTGAATGCACATTATTCAAAGATATATGTTCAGTAAGCCTTTACATGCTTGACTTTTATGCAGAAATATAATGGTGGTTGATTCTTATTTATGACCTTGACATGTGAAAATGGTTATTGTAGTATTTTTTGTCCAATCAATATGTGAAAAAAATCCAGTCTAGCTTACTTATGATCTCATATCAAATACATTAAATTCAATTATTTAGTTAAATGATATTCTGACGGTAGTGTAGCTTCTGGTACGTCCATCAAAACCTACGTCCTGTAAGACTGAGCAATATGACTAACTATAGGGACGAATGGTTAGTGCACTCGAGCCACTCCTATTTATTTTTTCAGAACTGTTTCAACTTCATAATAACTTTGATTCCTAAGTTCACATTTCTGATCAACTCTTTTCATGAGTCTACAGTATGTTGTAGCCATTTTGAAGCTCATGAATTAGAGTCATGTTGTTATTAGACGACTGTCTGCTCAAATATTGTTAAACTCAATAGGATTTTGTAAATTGATCACAACCGAGAACATTGTGGTGGTATTGTAGCATCAAACATTTTACTGACTTTATTTACATGTTATATGTATTTTATGAAATTCAAAGAGATGCCATATTAACTCTTTAAGAATGTCATTTGGACGATTCATTTCAAATGTTTGTATGTTGGTTTGAGATGTCTGTGTTGGGAGAGAGAAAGGGATTATGCATTTGACTTTTTTTAATAGGATTATTTTCTTTTCTCTTTAATAAATAGTATTTTACTTATCAATTGTCTTTTTGTTTTGTTTTTAAAAGGTAAGAAAATATAATTGTGGTTTAAATCAGTGTATATATTCCCTCCTATCTACTCGATTATAGGATAAAACCAATTCCCTATGAAACCCCTTTTCATGCTCCCATAGAACACCAAATGTAGTACACTGTATATTACTGATGGTAGTGTATTCCAGTGCTTCTCAAACTTTTTTCAGTCATGTACCCCCTTTGAAACATTTTCTCAGCCAAGTACCCCCTGACCGACCCCGAAAATGTTTGATCGAAAAAGCCTATACAAATAATTCCAATATAGTGATGTTCCCTCAGTGTGTGATTTATTAACTCCTTTACAACAAACTAAGGATATTTTCATTTTATGCATGAAAAAAGAAAACAAATTGAAACTGATTTTTCAAAGGACTTTTTCAACTGAAGTAATATCTGTTTAACAAACCAATGAACAAAATGATATATTATGCAAAACTATAAAATACAATACACCAATTTGACATGTTTATATGAGGACCCCCTTGGTGGTTCTAGGAATATTTGTATATACAATTGTGTTTTCTATTTAACTTATTGTACTAAGATTATTTTTGTAATCATGCATGGTATTTTTTTAATTAACTTTTTTTTTTTTTTTTTTTTAAATCTCACGTACCCCCTGCAGTACCCCAACTTACACCTAGGGGTCCGCGTACTCCCATTTGAGAATCACTGGTGCATGTAACAGCCTGCAGTACATGGACCTGACCAGTGGAGGTCCTCAAGAGCAAAATTGGAAAAACATTGAGTGAGTTCTCTTGCCTTGTTACTACATACAGAAAGATTGCTTTACTATGGGGCAATGTGCGCTGTTGTTAGTGCCTAACACAATCATGGATACAAAATAACAAACTGGGAAATAACACATGGGAAACATGGAAAATATAAAGTAAAAACAAATGTCAGCTCAATTAACTTTATTTCACTCCAGATGAAACTGTTTTTACCTCAATAAGAAACCAACAAGACTACTTTACATAGGTTGAATTGGATATAATGTAAATGCATGTCTATATGTAACCAGTTTAAGAAGATTAGGTTGAACGCTACAATGTTGGCTGCCAACACTCCCTTTAAATCCACTTATTCCCTCCATGAATTAGACAAAGGCGTCCATTACAATCATGTGCCAGCGCCATACACGAACTGCACAGCTGAGGGAAGGTAGAATCCCTTTTACTATTGAGTTTTCTCCATATTTCCTCACATACTAGTTCAGTTGTATTCAGGCTGGCCAGTGGAGGCTTGAACATGAGTTTCCTTCCTTCAAATTAAAAGACATTTACAAGTTTTTTTCGTTTAGTTTTTTTTACTAAAAAGGAGAAAGGGAAGTCAGGAAAAGCCATGAACATAACACCAAAACAGCAGTGTTGTAAACTTAGTTTATGAGTATACAATTAACATTTTACAGGTTTTTGTGCAACCAAGTTCAGATGAAACAAAAGCGTAATGAAATTGTTTTGCACCTGAAGTTATAACTGTGATGGAACAGCATAATGTGCATTATATACATCAATTAATACTGATTTATTTTTCTTTAAACCATAGAATGTTGCTCATGTTAACGTATATTTATTAGACAGCCCTACTCACTCACAAAATGTTTAACATGTTTGAAAACATTTTATGTAAGGAATATTGGCCCTCATTGCATAATTTCCAGCTACCGATCGAAGACATTGGATCCCTCTGAGAGTATGAAGGACACTAAAAGTAAGGACAAGAATAACCCCTTTACTTCAGATACAATGACATGTCTTCTCAGCATAGACCTCTTTCTCTTTTTTTTTTGACCAGTGCAAAGAAAGAGCGGGATGTCTGGGGCTTTGTATGGACAGGATGATGTCATCTCCTCTTCCTATGGTGCAGAAAGAAAGCTTTGTCTTGTGGAAGGCCTAGCCTGGTCATTTAGTTCACATGTGACTTTCACAAAACACTTTTAGCACAAACATATCTACTCTGCAAGCGAGAACACTGGGATCTACGCTACAAACTAGCCCATTCAGACATGTTAAAATGCCAGTGGATTCTATAATGAGTACTGTATTGTTCCTGATTGGACAAATAGTACGAGCGTAGAGCATAACAACTCACCAGTGGGATGTGCATTTGCAACACCGAGGAAAGCTAGAATATGTAGAAAAGTAATGCCTTAGTTCTTTGAGTAAATGTACAATCCAAACTCTGCCTGTATGTCGTTGGTTGAGTTCACATTTTTGCATATTGCATGGGAAATAGGGTAAATCAATAGTGGCGCATTTAGCAGCTAAAAGGCTAAATAATACCCTCAGGTGTTGGTGGAGACCAAACATATAGTTAAAGAACTGCAGTATCAGTTAACACAGTAAAAGTTGCTCTAAAAATGTCAGAAAAAAGGTAAAAATGTTCATCCCCTTTTTCTCAAAGTCCAAGGTGTGTCTTTACATAATTAGTTTGCTAGTTCAGAACAGAGAAAGTATGACATCTCTATATTTGAGAGGCGGAAAACATTATCAAATTAGTGAGAAATTAGTCATCTAATCGTTGCAGCTCTAAAGTAGAGGAGAGCATTGTTACGAGGCTAATAACAGTTTTCGTAACTACCGTATATCAATAAGTGTATGTCAGCAGCTGAGTAGCCAAGTGCGTTAAGTGTTACAACATCTTAGTGAGTCAGTGGAGGTTTCTGGTGTCTGTATATCAAAACAAAAGTCATGGTTACGTCATCACCAAACACAGTTTTTCAGCAGACATGTATTGCTGGTTTGATGTTGATGTTTGACGCTTGCATAGTGGTGGTTTGACAGTGGTCCAACACGGGTCAACTTGGAATATAAATGTACTGCAATAAAAAATTTAAATAAATCTCCCCAGGGAAAGTTCAGGATTTTACAGCTGGAATATTTCAGACCTCCATTTTTGTAATTTGGGTTTCAGGAGCTGTAATTTCCCATGTGAAAGTCAACAAATATGAACATTATATCACCACCACCAGGGGATTTCTCATAATCTAGGGAGTGTAATTGGATTACATTTAATCAAGACAGGAAGTAACAAAGGCGCTTGTAGTACTACACACAAACAGACTTTGTTTTACACCGGTGTATACATTTAATTCATACATTGATTACGTCTCTGAGATTAGGTTGCATTCCAGTTTGAAAAACATGAAACGCATAGCAGCAAGTAACGAGAACCATGTGTGTCATCCATCTCCTCACCCCCCCACTCGCAGTCTCCCCCCCACATTTCCCATCTGTGCCCTTCAGGCCCTCACTGCAGTCACCTCCCACTTCCCTCTTCCTTCAGAACGCGTCTGTTTTTGTTTTCGAGCCCGGGCTCTTTGCACAGGAAATTGTATACATTGGGAGCATTCAGGAAGGCCGAGCGCCGCTTCCCCGTTAGCACCAAGTTTGGCTATGTGACAAAAAAAATGGATAAAAGAGGTCTGTAATTCCTAAACCAGGAGAGAAACAGAAGTCAGCTGTTCTCCTCCCCTCACCTCACTTCCCTCAACATTTATTTAAAAATCCCTCCACTGCCACGAGTCCATCTCTAAACATCTCATATTTAAAAATGTCAGGTCGAAAATCTGAAATGAAAAGTAATGTTCCTGAGGGGATTTGCCTCTCTTCATATGCTTCCTCAGAGAAGCCAGTGAAAAGGGGAGCCTGTGTGGAATGAAGGAAAAGAGGAGGAGATAAAAAACGAGCAGAGAGAGACTGGCTGGGGGTGAAAGAACAACAGGAAACCAACCGATTCTAATGCTGTTTCTGCAAATCCTTCACAGATAAAGCAGCGGACTGCCACGTCCCAGCCAAGCTACTCTCACACCATGCCTTTTCTTTGATCATCACTCCAAGTTATGCCAAACTAAAAAGGACTTAAAGTTCAAAATGTGACGTCACTTCTGCTCTCAGCCTCCAACAGTGTGGTTAGTCAGAATGTGAGCGGATGCAGCGTTTTGGGAGCCGATTGCTGAGATTTGTGGCTGCTTTTTTGACCTAAGAACTCAACCTCTCTCTTATGGGGTCATATGGATCGATCGCCGTTCCTCCAAGGATCTGTTTGTTTTAAACTTCGGGACTACTAACTGGAGCCACATGAAGAATAAAGGGACTAAGCAGAAGTCCAAAAAGAAAGGAAGTGAAAATGTGTTCGGCTGTGACCTGATAGAACATCTCCAGAACTCCGGGCAGGATGGTAAACTTTTTTTTATGTTTTCTTTGACATCCAACACTCAATTTTTAGTGACTACCATCAAATAAACATATATTTCATGTATCACTTTACTTGTACGTACAGCATCACACTTATACTAAATAAGGAGGTTTATTAGTCATTTCTTAGATAAGTATACCTATTATAACCTTATCCATATATATCTTTAAGACGGAACAGTGTCTTTATATAACAAATACTGGCTTTGTTCAAAGACTACATCAATGAAAATCAGGTATACATGTGTTTTACATTTACTGTAGTAAGGCCATTCATCAACACATTGGCTGTATTAAAGGGTCATTTGTGAATTTGGGTGTGGCTCTGACATTTTTTGGCATCAGTTTCCTACGGTGACTTTAGCTCCTATGGATAGTTTTGGGTTTGATACGAGACTTGGCGGTGCTGCTGCCAATGGATGGGAGAAAATTACGAGTCGAGACAAAAACAGACGAGAAAATAAATGTACTCAAATGTGGCCACGTTTGTTTGACAGGATGATTTTCTATAATTCCTGTTATTTATTCTGATCATATGTTGATAAAACTGTCTTCTGTGATTTTATTATTGGCCACACATTGATTTGTTGGAAAGGTGAAGTTTCCCACGTGCAGGTATGTGAACTTTAAGGAAGACCTGTTACAGTGGACGCTCTGTGAGGCGGAGCATCATGCAGGAAGTGAGGGAGGAGGTTTGGGTCATGGATGTGGAGCAGACATATTGTGTTTTTAGATTGTTAGTGCCTCACTTTGTCACTGATATGAACTACTGGGAGCTCCAGACAAAGTAACAGAGACGCAATGTAGACATTTTAAATGGACTCCTTTGTAGTCATGACACTTTTAACTCCACATGTCAACATTTATATTCAATTATACACAGACACTTTAAATCAGGATACAGTGACGATCAAGCCTCTTTTTATTTCCTTATTAACATTACATGTGAGAAGGTAAATTGTACATGATGCCCACATGTGTTAAGTGTTAGAATCCAATTTCCAGCTGCGCAGAAAGTCCCCCTTAATCTTAAACCCCACTTCACAACTAAATATGAGCTGATATACTCACAACATATAGTTATTTGTGAGAGAAATCTTTTAAAGAGAAAATATCTTCAACCTTTACTTTCAAGAGATTTAATATTGTTATTTGATATAATAACAAGCGATGGAGTCCTGCGTGGATGTGATAAAGGGTATAAGACGCTCACTTCCTGTCTCACACAGACACACAATCGTTCTCATGGATATCTGAGGTTGTTTCATAACATTCATTTCATGCTAACATTGTAAAACTGCTTTTTCAGAAAACTCAAAATCAGCAGTTATATAAAGATACATGAGTAATCTAGAGGAAATATACAAGCTTAATCTTTTCACGACAATCTTTTTGACAGGGTTTGATAATCTGGCCCTGAACTTTTAAAGGTGTTTCAGTCAACAACCAATGTTTGCATATAACATTTTTATAAACCCTGACCAAAACAAACACTGCAGCGCTGCTCAGAGTTTTTGTAAAGTCAACCACTGAGCAGCAGCTGCAGTTTCTTCGTTTAAAATAACATTTAACATTACTGTAGGAACAAACACTCTGAATCAAATGGTACCATGACATTTTCCTTGTCACACATTTCGTTTCATGTGTTCATAAAGTCTCAAAAAAGTTGTTTTTAGCTTACTAAAAGCAGAGACGGAGAGGCGCTAAATTACGGCTCCACAGTTATATTTGACCACAGGCATGTCACTGGAAGTCCAATTAAGTCAGATGGATGAGAATGTAAATGGCAGATTCCTGGTGTCTGCCATGTGAGATCAACCATTGCCAACAATTCTTATTTAATTTGATGTAGGATGAATTTGTTATGGAGCCAGATCTGTTAATACTCAAAGCCAAAAGACGTGGAAGTCAGAAGTATTAAAATGTAAGAGGTTTAGAAATGCAAGGCAGCAAATGAAACTTTTTTATGTCTGTAAAAGACAGACATGTCATTAACATTGATTTTTCACATGTGAATATCAAGCAGTTTTTGTATTAAAAGCAATTGGACATAGTTATTCTTTATTTAAAATAAAGAGTTTTACTTAAATAACATACATTTTAACGGAGGATAAATCAATATGTGATTTCCTGTCGTACCAATCCGTTATCTCACTCAACATAACTATCTTAAAAACATGTTTTTGTGTCAAAGCATGTATCAAAGCTATATCAAAAGTACACCACATTAAGTTTCGTCATCAACTTTTTTGCAACCATTTGCTATTTTCAGTATTCGCTTAAGGGAAGTTATGGTCAGACTGAAACAGAGCATGTGATTTAGCTGTAAAACCACAGTTAGCTCAGTTCCCATTTTATTTTTTAAAAAGGCAGGTAAAAACACTTGTGTACAGAAAGTGATGTACTGTTGTTTGGAAAGCTGTGTAGGTCAGTGATAACATTTCATAAGCCGTTTTCTATTAGAGGAAATGTCGTAAGTAATACCAGCTACAAGGACTGGGTGTGTCAGCCTTCCTCTGAAACAAACAAACCATTTTTAACTTCCTGTCAAAGTCCACCTACAATCAGCGGCTCTAAGGAATAGAAAACAGACATAGTGGAACAAACGCTATACCATGAAGTCAGCCCTGTGTGCATTGTTCCCGCTGACACATTACATTCACAGTTCCCTCTCCTGCTTTTATGCTTTAATGGGACCATCAAGCCCAGTATAAAAGTATATGACTAACACGGTTTCTCAACTTTAGTTCCTCAGGTTCTGAAGAAATGTGCAGAGTTTATCGAGGAACATGGGATTGTGGACGGGATCTACAGACTGTCGGGGGTCACCTCAAATATCCAGCACCTCAGGTACAGCGATGCTTTTGAGGGAACCTCACCTTATAGAACATATCATTTTTTTAAGCATTTCATTCCTTATAATTACCGATAAATACATTCAGTTTGCTCCTTCTAAGACAAATTAAATATGACCCTAAACAAGTCCATAAAACAAGTGTTAGTCCAGCTCTTTCTTTTTATCCATGCAGTCTGAATGAACAGTCATAAAATCATTCATTTATTTATTATTGATTTCTCAAAGCTTGTTTTCTTTTAAAGTCGACCGGATACACTTCAATCTAACAAGACACGTACTGCAACAAAAGTTAGCATGGTGTTAACAATCAAAGCATTCAGCTAACTCTGAGTGTGTGTGTGTGTGTGTGTGTGTGTGTGTGTGTGTGTGTGTGTGTGTGTGTGTGTGTGTGTGTGTGTGTGTGTGTGTGTGTGTGTGTGTGTGTGTGTGTGTGTGTGTGTGTGTGTGTGTGTGTGTGTGTGTGTGTGTGTGTGTGTGTGTGTGTGTGTGTGTGTGTGTGTGTGTGTACAGGCAGGAATTCTGCTGTGAGGCGTGCCCTGACCTCACAGAGGAAGTGTACCTCCAGGACATCCACTGTGTGGGTTCCTTATGTAAGCTGTTCTTCAGGGAGCTACCCAATCCTCTGCTCACATACGAGTTATACAGCAAATTCACTGTAAGTACATTCAGTTCACACACACATCCCCAAAGAATCTTGTGTGTGTGTTGTATGTTTTACAAACAGTAATTAGTAGCAGATCGAAAGCCAACCCCAATATCCTACGCCATTTTCTTCCACAAAGTCCTTCAGTATAATAATAATACATTTAATTTATATAGCGCTTCTCATCTGCCAAGACAAATCTCGAAGTGCTTAGTGCTTTTAGTTAGCGCTATGCAGATCTTATTTATTATAATTTTCAATGATTGTGAGCTCATCTCTCGGTCTTGTTTTCATCTCTTCCCTGGAAAAAACAGTACTATTAGCAGATGTCTTCTGAACTGCAAGCAAATAACATATTGTATTACTTAATTAAACACCATTTATTATCTTTGTAATGAAATCCTCCTAGCTATTAAAAGGAGCAGTTATGCTGCCCATAATCATGAAAAGATGTTCCTGCACAAACTGATCACAAATAACACAATTATTATCAGTTTCATCAAAGGGGGATTTAAGCTTTGCATTCAAGAAAGACCTTAACATCAAGAGTATAAGGAGACCAGGTCAGAATGTAGATATCAAACTGTATGGCCACATTTGCAGGGAAACTATTTCTACATTTAGAACTAAAGCAAAGCATTTTCCGGATGAGCTGCAGATGTGAAAAATACTTTAGAGGGGAGCAGGAGAGAAGGAAAACCAAACTGTGAGGCCTGGTTCATGCTCTCTGTGTAGCTTTCTGTGTACCTTGACGGGCTATTAGCATACCTTGGCATTCATACATCTTGTGCTGCGCTGGCCTGAAGACTCCAAGAGGCGTTTCAGGAAAAGTCAAATAAAAACATACCAAAACCCAATTTTCCTTGGAAAGGAAGGACTTCTTAACAACATGAGCATTGAGCAGAATCTGTTCAATTCAATTATGTGATTGATGTTGTGCATATTATGGATACAAAAACATTATGGTGGAATGAATCTTTATGCAGCCATGAGACGTTTTAACAACTTCAAATGTTGACGTCCTCATGTTTACTTTACTGTTCAAACACCTCAACCACACATTGGTTTGCTTGCATTTGTGCTGGTTGGGATGCATGATAGCTTTAACTCACAGTTCATCAGTATGTGGTTTCTTTCTGTCTGTTCTACATGCAGAAAACAGTCCTGGTTCAGGGGGACAATGAGAGACTTTTACACATTCAGGGGGTCATCAAAGAACTGCCGACACCTCACTTCAGGTGAACTTCTTTAAACTCTCATCCATAAAGAATATTTTACAACTGGCTTGTAAATATTATTATAATGCTGTAATAAATGTGTTTGTGATCCCCATCAGGACTCTGGAGTACCTTACTAAACACCTGGCCCACCTTGCCACCTTAAGTACGACAACAAACATGCATACCCGTAACCTGGCCCTGGTGTGGGCTCCAAACCTATTAAGGTGGGTTTAGCGTGCCTGCTGAACTTTATCTATAAATCTTGAAAATAATTGTTTTGCTCCTTTAGGTTAAGGTATTCATACTTTAATTCATTCTTGTTTTTATCTCTTATTTTGTCAGATCTAAAGACATTGAGGCGTCAGGTACTAATGGAGACATGGCCTTCCAAGAGGTGCGGATACAACAGTCAGTGGTTGAGTTTATTCTAAACCACAGAGAGGAGATCTTCAGCGGTTCGGCCCAAATAAAACCCAAAGAAGGTATCACATTCAACCAAATCAAACAAAATACAAATGCATTTATGCGATATTTCTAGGGCTTAGGAATGTCCTGACTCCTGATCATCCATGAAAAGACTGATTTATTGTACTTATTTTACCGTTAATAACTGTGCAATATGCCTGGCTGCTATATCCTCAGAACTGTTACAGGATGTGTATTTTGTAAATTGTGTAACTTTTATTATAATTTTTTTTTTTTTATGCATGCTTCTAAGTTAACATAAAGCTGTCTTTGGCTCTTTTCTGCTGTAACAATGCACATTTCCCCTCTGTGGGACTAATAAAGGTCTTCTGATTCTGATTCTCCAGGACCCAGTTTGAAGTGTGAGGAGAACTACGCCACGCTCCCAATCAGCCGCCAGTGTGGGCCGATGAAGCTGATGAGCCTGGAAGAAGCCCAGGCCCGCTCCTTGAGTCCAAACCACCCGGTGCACAGAGAACGTCAGCGAGAGAACAGCCTGCCTAACACCAGCACTGCCACGCTCTACCACACCGTCATAGACATATCAGACAGCAAGTATGACAGATTTATGTTCAGTCCATTGAGAGATGATGTAAGTACTTTCTATGTGTTACGGTCAGAACAATCTGTGGAATGTCTTAATCTCTTTGTCTTAAAGGAGAAAGTTTTCTGGGAAATCCAAGAAATGGAAGTCCATCTTTAACTTGGGAAGGTCTGTGGAAAGGGGAAAACTGAGCCGGAATGGAAGCGTGTTCATAAGAGCACAAGGGACAGGTAAGGTCTCCCAGAGGAGGGTTTTAAACAGATGTACAGCCTCCATAACCTTATGTCGAGTCAGACTGTGTTCATATTATTTTCTCCTACAGAAAAGGCAGCTCTTCGTCCATCCAGGAGCATGGAGTCCTTATGCTCCATACCAACAGGTGGGGCTAAAACCCTATGCTTTATAGAAACACAGAGCAACATTCATGTTGTATTGTAACATGTAATGTTATTTTTACCATGCAGATGATGACAGAACAGGAAACAACAGCCCAGCTGGTGGATCTGGCAGCCTCTTTGGTCAGGATGTGAAATCCAGAACGCTGGGATCTGACTTGCTCTATGACCTGAGCGAACATGACCAGAGCTGGGAGTATAAGGAGACAAAATCTGATGGGGCAACAGGCGGCTGGAGCTCAAGAATTTACCAAAAAGGGTCAACAGGTTCCTCTGCACCCCCCCAAAAAACACTTCCAGAGCAACTGAAAGTTTACAAAGGTGATGAAGTCAGTGGATACAAGCCCACCTCGCCGAAAAGCAGGCGGATGTTGTACTCGGGCTCCTCCCAAAACAGCTCCTCTCGGCCCTCCTTCCCAGGAAGCTTCTTCCCACTGGAGTCTTCTCCCAGGCATCAGCGCAGGGCCGTCAACATATCTGAGCCTTTTGCCGTGTCTGTACCTCTGCGTGTGTCGGCTGTTATCAGCTCCAACAGCACGCCGTGCAGGGGCCACGCCAAGGACAAAGCAGCTACTCTGAAACCCTTCAAGGAGAGCTCAGAGCAGAGCAGCAACAGTGGAAAGAGCAACACGTTCCCTCTGCTGGAACCAAGGAAGCAGGAAGGAATGGAGCGGAAAAAGAAAGCGGAACCGATATCCAGCGTCCCTCCAAAGGGTGAGGACATCTTCCATTATCACATTTCATAAAGGCTTGTTATGTGACGTTGAAATCAAATGCTACATGTGTAAATAATGTTGTGTTCTTTGAAAAACTCAGATGCAAGCAAAGAAGTGGTTAAAGAAGGTCAAAGAGGGATGAATACTTCTGAACTTGAACCAGCATCCCCGGCAAATGCAAGGGACGGCAAAGACGCAGCGCCCTCTCCTGGGAAAGAGGACAACCAGCAGACAACCATCCAACTGGTAAGTCCTGGAGGTAGTTGTGCTTAACTTAAGCAGAATTGCAGACACCTTTTTGCATTAGGGCTAAAGTCTTCAGTGGATTTGATCAACAAATTACAGTTAGGTTTAACAGGGATACCAGAGTCTTTGGCTCAAACTAGCATATTATATTTATTTGGTTTAGATTTGGTTTCAGAGTTGCAAAGATTAACTAAATTAGTTGTAAACTGTATATTAATTAGCAACTATTTTGAATATCTTTAAGTCGGTTTTCTTAAGAAAAGAAAATCCAAATACTCTTATTCAAGCTTCTTTCGTTGGAATGTTCTTCACGTTTAAAGTTTGTGAAAACACTGCATTTTTTACAATTTTCTGACATTTTATAAAACAAACAGCTAACTGATAAAAGCATGAATGAAAACAATAGTTAGTGCCAGCCCTAGAATCACTGTTTTAATCCTTTCTGTCTGGTTTCTATCTCAGGATAAGGGATCTTCTACTGGGAAACAGCCGTGGACTGACCTCAAACAGGAACTGAAGATAACTGAACCTGAGATCGACCTGCTGGACGAGACTTTTAACCCCATTTTCGGCTCCAAGGGCACGTTTGAGGGCACGAGGTTAACAATGGATGTTAAGTCAAAGCGAAGCCGCAGCTCTCCGTCTCTGTCTTTGTTATTCAGGGAGCAGTCTTCAAATACCTCTTTGAGTGACCGTGTAATCGCCACTGGAGACTCTGCACAGAAACAGCCCTCAGGGTCAGACATTTCACTTCACAAAAACACCGAAATCACCCCTCCTGCTGACCTCTTGGATGAGAAAAAGAAGAAGCTGCATCTGAAAATCACACCCTTACACAAAGATGACACCAAACAGGGTCAACTTATTTTAAAGGAAACAGATAAAGTTGTAAATCCTTTGACGATAGAGGATACTCCAGCGGTTGTAGGCTTCTTAGGAGCAGATGATGCCAACAAGAAATCAGAAGAAAGCAAAGTTCCTCAAGGAGACAAAAAAATCTCCTGTGATGGAGCAAAGAAAGATTTGATTCCAGAAGTTATTCAAAGGCTGTCGGTGTGTTTGGAGGAAAAACGTAAAACTTTGGATCTGCCAAACCTTGGTGAAAGAAGTGGGAGAAACTCCGAGGAGCTGGACTTGGTTGAGTCTTGGGAGGACTTTAGCTCCACTAAGTTATGGGTTACCAGTCCTCTCCACTCACCGGACGTGGAGGAGTTCTTTAACCGACTATCGCCCTTCTGCTCTGTGGGGGAAACTCACATTTCATCTGCTTCAGTTGATAATATCAAACAGTCGCTTGTTAAAAGCACTGAGCACCCCTCAGGCAGCTTTCCTCTGACTACCAGTAGCAAACCAGAGACTAAATGGACGTGTTTGCCACCGGGGGTCAGTGTGAACGGCAGTAACACAGCACAACCTCACACAGGAAAAGCAAAACAGAAGAACACAGTGTCATCTCAGAGATTGTACAGACAGATGTCTTATGAGGCGGAGAAAAGAGAAGAAAACAGCTATTCTAAACACCGACCATATTCACTCAATTTGGACCTTGGGAATCGATGCATCAGAGACATTTCTAATCAGCAAAACCGTCATTCACCAGAGTTCTCCTCAAGTCAGAGAGGACTACTGACCTCCTCTGAATCTGTAGCCAGCAGGCTGCCCTCAGAGCTGGAGTTGTTTCTAAGTGATCGGCAGGCTCCTCTACGCAGAAATTCTGCCCCGGTGAGCGTGTCATCGGTGCGAACAGCCTTCATGATCAAAACCTGCCAGGCCAAAGCCGTGCCCGTCGTCCCTCCAAAGGTGCAGTACAGTCAGATACCTCCCTCCAGACATGAGAAGGACTTTGACGAAGCCAAGGAACAACAAAAGGAAGATCCTAAGACGACTGTAGAGAAAAGCAACGCGGCACTTGCTCCGGTGATGTCCGATCTCAAGGAGGAGCTGGAGAATAAAGCGCCTGAACCCAAACACCAAAAACTCCCCCTTGTTGCCGAGTCTCCGAAGACCACATCTACTCCAGAGCTGCCAGTCATCAGGAGGAGACACCCGCCCAGTTTGGAAGTGTTCGTGGACTGTCCCAGACCTAACAGAGGGAACATCCATCAGAGACCGTCCTTTAGGAACAGGCAGAGACCTCAGAGCCTCATCCTTCTCAGCCCTCCCTTTCCCATCATGGACTATCCTCCCTCAGGAGACGACAGCAGGCTCCTCTCGTCCATCAAGAGCCTGGATGAAACGTCGGCAGTGAATGTCTTTTCTAAAGAGATGGCGGAGAATTTCAGGACACCGGAGGGGGTCGCCCTTCAAAACAAAATGACTATTCCAAAAAGTGGACAGAGACTGGAAACGTCAACCAGCTGCTTCTACCAGCCACAGAGGAGGTCCATGATATTCGACAGCAGGAGCCACAGACAGATTGAGTGACTGGAGGGGAAAGCACTGACTGTGAGACTGGCTGTGTGTAAATACATAAAGTATACGAGGACACTTTCAGGAGGATGATATGGTAACCTAAGGTTAATACAGGCATTTTGTTTGCTATGATTCAGGCGTTTCTTGAGGGCTTTGTGAAAAGAGATTCTGAAGTATTTGAGTGAATGAAGCCATAATGTATGTGAAAGCTTGATTGAGATCTAGGAATGCCATTTTTTTTAAATCATCTATTACGATGCAGACAAGTCAATTAATTGTCGAGTCTAGAAAATATCAGACAATGCCATACAAAGGGAAAAGGGAAGTTTCCTAGTGTCCAATATATTCAGTTATATAGATAAACTCATAAGACTTAAGGTCGCTAGCTAGCTTTTCAGAAAGTTTCAGCCATATATCATAGTCTCTCAGCTCTCATCAAGAAAACTCCATCCACTTAAGAAGACTATGAGATGTGGTTTAAATATGTGCAAGAAGCTAGTAAGTTGACTTAAAGGTGGGGTAGGTCATTTTGGAGAAACCAGCTCGAGTGCGCTAGAATTTGAAAATACACAACCGGAACAAATCTGCCACTTCCTTACAGAGCCCCTCCTCCAACACACAGGAAGGCTGACAGGCAGGTCGGCCATCCAGTTATTTTAGCCGGGCCGGCTAAAATGATTGGTCGTGCTTTTTACAGTACTACGGCTTCCACAGATGACATTTTTTATGGATTTTTTGTCAAAGCACTTGATATTCATTGCTATCGGGATGTTAAGAGCATTCCATGGAATATAACAAAAAGTGTATCTCGAGCCGGTTTCTCAAACTTACCCCACCTTTAAGTTATTATGTCTTGATGTCATTTTATATTTTACTTTTTATACTATTTTCCCCAAAAAAGGTTTGTTAAACTGGAAGGGCACTTGGGGTGCAGAACTTTACCAAAGCCACATTTATCACATTTGAATCCGCTCAAAAATGCTGACCCATGCTACTCCTTTTCACAGAGTTTCATGAAAATCGGGAGAATAGTTTTTACTTAACCCTGCTGACAAAACATATGTCCTAACTGAATTTACCCTCAAACATTAAGGGCTAAAGGTTAACAGCCATGAATTTAAACATGTAGATGAAAATGTGTTTATTTATTCCTTTATTAACATACACACGATATAAAGTAAACTTCATATCGTTATACTGTATATTGGCTCCGCAGTAAGCTGAATGTGATTTAAGAAATATATATATTTAAAAGGACTTCTCTAAATACAGTATATATCGCAAACTCAATTTAGATAGTATTTACCCATGGAAGAGCTTTAATTCATGTGTATCTTTATTTTCAGAAATTGCTTTGTATGTTATGGCCATTTTTATTTGTTGTTTGTTTTTTGACAACAACGACAAACAGCATTGTAGTAAGGATTTTTGTGCTGATGCTGCTGTGCTGACATTAAACTGGATTTGACTTTGTGCACGCTGACTGTATTTCATGTGTTTGAGTCAAAGTCAGATGACGGTATCTCGAGGTTTGTGCCTCTTTTCTTTGATTTAAAAAAACACGGGATTTGTTGGTTTTAGCTTTGGGGCCCATGACCATAACAGTCTGAATGTTAAAGGAGGCTACAGAGTATTTTCTAAAGATGTGGATGTATATGAAGACAAAGTGTTTAGTTTGGATGGACTGGATGAATGATTAAGGTGTTTTATAAGGAAAAGGTTTAAGACATTAGATACAAGTTGTTGTTATTTTTGCTTTGTAACTTGTGTATACTTGTTGATACTGAAAATGATGGATTGAAGCGTCTGTATTCATAGGAAAAAGAACTGAAGTGAGAATTTTGAGAGTTTGCCGTAATTATCTGTTGTCGGCCTTTGAAGTGATGTACATAGGACACTTGATGCATTTTGTTACAACCAAAAGTAAAGAGAATAAAATGTTCTGAAATCACATGAGTCTGAGGTTCTGCTAAAACATGGCTTACATTACAAAACATACAAGGAGTTACAATTCTATCAAAACCCTTAAATCCAAGAAATAACATTTTGTGTGGTTTGATTTCACTTTTACAGGCAGATGTTTAACTTGTTTTCTTTGGACTACTCGGGGGTTCATTTGAAAACTTATATTACACAAACTTCTTCTCTGAAGGACCTGGTAATCCAAAGACGACAGTACTGAGAGATAAGAAACAAGAGAACTATGAAGATTCTTGAACAATCACATTAAATATGAGCTTGACGATTTTGTGAAACCAGCTTTACTGTACAATAGAAAAAACTCATGTTACTAACTTTCCTCTAAACAGTTGTCATTTCTTCCTCCTATATCTCCCTCAATATAAATATTAGCTTATGTACGGATTCTAGATATTGGGCTACGCTTTTTTCCACTTTCTCTTTGATGAATTTCACCAATCACGTATGGAAAGATTGTCCCAAAATGCATAAATATTCAAGGTTTTGCCAAAAGTGTTTGGTTTGTTAGTCCAATGGTTAATAACTAAAAGGTTCTGTCACTATGTTGTCATTGCATCATGATTTTGGATGGAAATGCCTTCTGTTTCCTGAGAAATAAGACAGTCTTTCAGAAAGAAACTTTAAATACAGTCTTTCAGAAAGCCTCTCACTCAGAGGACATATATATAAAAGAGGTTGTGACGCCGTTGTGTGGATAATAAGTATTCAAAGGGGGCCCCGAGAGTGATGGGTCCCTTTGGAAATCAGATTATGTACTACCCCAACATGGTGGGACCAAGAGCAATGTTTTGTTTGTTCTTATGAGCAATAGCTTACAATTCACACTGTATTTTTAAGTGAAATTGTTATTTGAACTAATGCAACTTTTTGTTGTAAATATTTTCAAACTATTGTTGTTGTTTATCACCCCGTTGCCACCAGAGGGCGCCCCTGCTCCACACTGCACATCAGAGCGAGCCACTAAACTGCAGATAAACAGGCAGAAAGTGAGAGTGCTTTGGGTACATTAGGTGCTCCAAGTACTGCAAAGATACTGTGATCAATAAGAGAGAGTGTATCGGTCTTTATCTACAGATGGAAACACTGTCGCTTTGTGAGCCATGCCCAATACGTTCCGCGTCTACGTGCGTGTGCGCGTGAGCTTAGCGCGCGTATTAGTGTGTGTAGCTTCTCTTCCCCAACGAACTTGCACTTGCGTCTCTCGTGCTTTTTCAAAATGACTTCCACTTAAAGTTGCCTGATTTTGGTAGTGCCAAACTACAATAAAGTCCATCACTGCCACAGAGTGTTAAACTGCACAAATCACATGTCTGCTGTTTGCCAAATCCATAAACAAAATAAAATACAATTAAACAACGCAGTAGATCACATGCATTAAGGACTAACGAGTCACGATGCACTACAAGTGTTTGTTTTTAGGGGGGCCTTAAAAATTGATTACTAATGTAAAGCCATGGTGCAATAAAGAACTAGACCTAAACGTATATTAAATGAGATAGTCCTATTTGGAAATTACTGCCTTCATTTATATGAGTCATGAGTGTATGTTAAATGCATTTAATTGTTTGTTTTGGTTACCTTAGTGACGCAGTGGGCCTCTTGTTCCCAGTTGTCTCGGCTGAGCCTGATATGCACGTGCACATGTGGCCTGAATGAGGGGAACAGTAGTTAAACGATGAGTGTAAAAAGAGTCCACTGTAATTGTATCCAAATGTCACATCAAATATTTGGACCAAAGTCCCATTCAGCAGCCTTCACTTTGGAGCAGTGGTTGCGCTTGCAGAGGTCACTTCCATGTCTGCGCAGTTCATTATTTGTCGACCTTTGACACTGCTTGTGTATGGACCGAGAATTAAAAAGGCGTTTTCTCAAGCACGCTGAAAAAAAGCCAAGCAGAGCGCGCGTTGAATATTCAATGAGAGGGGGGGAAAGTGAGGAGAAGTGAAGCTGCGTGCCAGTCCTTCATCTTACATTACTGATTAGCTGTTAAACAGATTATACACAGCTGAACGGGTTCAAATGTTGCAGTAGAAAACAGTCGGAGTTCAAGGCAGTGCCGAGCGGTTTCCTTCCCCTCCACTTCAGCAGCCTGTAGGCTACGTTGTCCCCACTAACAGCTCCATAATGAAACATGTTGCTGTTCCATTTTGCCCACTTAAACCGCAATCCTTTAAAAAAAAAACACACACACACATCGAGAAAATTACATCTATCGATGTTGGTCGAGTAGTTTGGATGAACCAAATGTATGTACCAAAATATTGTAAAAAATACCTGTTTGTACAACACACTATAAGCAGAATTCATATTAAGCTACATTCACGAGGTTATTGCAAAAGTAAAACAGTTGTAAAATGTAAATTCATTCACAAAAAAACTCCCATTTCTATATTCATATCCTTCCAATTCACTGGCGAAAACAGCTGTACGCAAAATACAAAACATCTCCAAACCCCTTAAAGTAGTAAAATATCTACATAAAAGTGCATTAAACGTACAAATGCTTGTTTAAAAGACATCCCCTTGAGAAAAAGCCTCCCCTCTTCCAACAATAACTCACTACTCTGCATTTACAAGCGAGGTTTGAAGCCTGGAGCAGCAGGTGTTTGTCCTTTAAAAGTGGGTAAACAAGCTCTTTAAAAGTGTACAAAAGTGTTAAAAAGTTTATAAACTGTTTCGTTAAAGTTGGTATGTTAACATGTTGGGTTTACTAAACACATTTACTAAGCTAGATAAGTTTAAAGTAGTTGAATGTGCAGTGCCATAGCAAGCCACGCGGGTCCAAAAGAGCTCTCATTGAGAAGCCACGTGTCCGTTTCCAAAGCCTCTCCAACTTAACCACCTCCTTTGTACGACTAACCCACATCGGCAGCGTCCCTCCACATAAAGGGATTTGCAATTTCAAGATATTTCAGCTTAAATGTTTTTGACAGTTCCCTCGCTTTTACCTCGGCTTGGTTATTTTAACTGTGCCAAATGGGTCACCTTGGGTTGCTGTCTGCGCGCAAAGGGGCTTTTGCGCGCATTCAGTCTGAATTTTTTCCAACTTTCCTTGACGGGGAAACCAGCTGCTGGTCGTGAAAAGACGGCTTATTAATTGTCCTTTGTCATGCAGAATTGCTTGATTTCTAAAGAAACGTACAAAGGCTCTTTTTCAGGATTCAAGTATTTTGTTTCGTGCGTATTTTCAAACCATCGAATCAGCTGCAGCGCCGCGCCGTCTACCAGACTCTCAGGTACTGACTGCCTGCTCCCTTTGTCCCCTTTTAATGCTGTTGTAAATCGTGGAGACTGATTTGTTACAAGCTGTTCTTTTAATCTGATAGATAAGAGACATGTCAAAGAAAGCCGTAAATAAAAAATTAGCCAGAATAAAGACAAGGGCGAGTCTGCTAGATGGGCGCCTGTTGACTCAAGCGGCTCTCCAGCGTCAGGGGAGCCCTCTCCTCAGCTCCGTCAAGGTTACGTCCACAATTCCCTTTTCTTCTTTTTAAAAAGACACCGTAGTCCTTTTTGCTTCAATGAATTGATCGGCACAAAATTAAGAATAAATAAATTGAGCATTTGGAGCACCGAGCGTATAAGCTCCCCCAGGGCGCATACCCTCGGGCTATTGAAGGGATAAAGGGCGCTTTGCAGAGAACGTTGTGAGCAAAATGGGGCTCTATGGTGCAATTAACAAAATAGTCTAATCCCATATCTTAACAAATGCAAATATTGGAGTTTTGTTAAAATGGTTAAGTGAACAATTAAATGAAAGTTTACATGTGAAACTTCAGATCCAAAAAAAAGGCACACTGATGCCGATAATGTGCTGTACGCAATTTAAGAGTTTTTACTCCCTTTAGAAAAGTATATTCCAAGGAAGCAAATATAATTTAAACCCTATTCAAAATAATAAATGTAATTTTGAGAACCCAAGCTTCAGTCAGAGAGCAGCTGTGGCGGTGCGTAAAATGGGCGAACAAAACTGGAACTGTACGCTCAACTCCTGCTTTGGTCTTTTTTGGAGAGGTTTCATGGATCAGAAGACATATTTTGTAACTTGAGTAAAAAATGTAAACATAAACTCTTGATATATTAATTTAAAACCAGAATAGCCACAAAGGCTTTTTGCCTAAAAGACTGGATTTATTTTTAAGGATGCTGCGTATTATTCGACTTGGCACATTTTTGTTTTCATTTTGTGGATTTAATGTTATGCCATAAAAAACACATGTTATGCTTAATAATAAAGATGTTTTATTCAAAGAAAATATTGGCTGAGTTGAAGAGTTTTTTTATCTCGTTTCCATCACACCTGCAGCTCATAAAACCAACAGTAAACATGAGCACACTGGTGCGTTAACAACACGAACAATATGGGTCATGGACACCAAACTGTGTCTTTTCCTCATTCATTTTCATGTTAGATCAATATCTTAAGTTATGCACACTCTTGATGCACCGTTATATACCCACAGTGATTATTAACTCAGTCACACGAGACGGATCATTTCAGGGATGAAACTTGAAAAGAGCTCCGAAGGGCCAGGCAGTGATATGGGTTGAGTGTCCCCCAGGGAAAGCTCATAAAGGGACCTCATAACAACGTATTCATCACCTCGGAGTGATAAGGATTATTGAGCATCTGATTTAATCTTTCAGAGTGGAGTTGAGTTTATGTGGCCTCCTTTAGTTCACAAATACACTTAGTTTGTCCGTGTGCAGTGCACGCTGAGAATCTTAGGAAGAAAATACGTCTGTCCTTCCTTATTGCTTTTGGCTATTTGAGACAAAATATGGACTTCGTAAAAATGTTTTGTTTCTCATAAACCAAACACTCCTGCGCAAATCTACTGTATCTTCGTGTCAAAGAATATTGATATATGTATTTAGAAATTGCAAAGAAAATGAGCCTTACGCCTGAAATAAACCCGTGCACATGTAGCCACATATCGCAGCCATGAGAATGTAAATGTACGGAGATGT